CACTTCAATCCTAATATTCTTGTTGAAATATTGTTTAAGGGATTTCTTTCTTTTCTATTATTGATGGATTGTTCATGTTGTTCATGTAGTTGCGCTTCATGTTCAATTAATTGAGGTGATTTGTTCATTGTTGTTGGATGATATTTACCAACAATAATTGGATTTTCTTCACCACCACAACAAGTATTACTACTTTTAATAGTATTATTATTATTGGTAGTAGTATGAGCACAATGATCATCTTCATGATGATGATGGTGATGATGGTCATGGTGATGATCAATAATATGATGATGATGATTATCATCTAATTCATGTTCATGATGATGACCATGATAATGTCCTTGTTCATCATCTTCATTAGTATCAAAATGAACATTATTTTTACCATTCTTAGTAAGTATATTATTATTATTATTATTATTGGTGGTGGATATAAATGTTGATCAAATTCATCACTATCAAAATAATGAACATGACGTTGTTGTGGATGTTCATCATCTCTATAATAAGATGAAAGTGAACTAAATGATTGTGCTGAATGAATTCTATTATTATTCAAATTATTATTATTCAAATTATTTAAATTATTATTAGAAGACATGTTAATAATATTATTATTATCAATACTATATAGAGATGATAATTGTTCATTACTATTATATTGTTGTTGTTGTTGTTGTTGACTATTAATACTTAATTGACTCATAACTTTACGTATATTATTATTATTATGATGATGAATATTATGAGGATGATGAACACGTGGATGATGTGAATGTGCTAATCTTTGTGATGATCCATATGGATTAGTATTATTATTATTTAATTGTTGTTGTCTTGTATTAACTGTATTATTAATATTATTTGTATCAACTATTGTTGAAGAAACAGATGAAGTACTCAATGCACCACTGTCACTTGTCATATTGATATTCAATATTGATGTTATTGTTTTGTTTTTTATTTCAGATTATTTTTCGCTTTAGAATTTAAAGTCAGACCTTTGGGAACATTAAATTACAAATTGGGTTAATTATCCATTTATTATTATCCATTTCACTACTTATTGATGTTTAATTGAAAGCTATTGTAACCTAGATATTATCTATCTGTTGTTATTGATGTAATTTACTACTTGGTATTGAATTTTACTACTTGAGTGAGAGAATAGTGTTGAGTTGTTGATTAATAATTTTGATTAGAGTAAATATCATTTTAGTATTTGATGGAATGAGATTGGTTTCTAATAAGGTCATTTAAATATTTATGTTTAAAACTCTTATATGTATTGATGTTTTCTTGATAAGATTGTAATTAATCAAGTAATTTTTAAAAATATAAAACTTTATTTTTAACATTTATAATATATGAGAGGAGAGTATTATTTTTAAATAATTCCTTTTATATTTAAATATTATTTAATAAAAACAAAAACAAAAACAAATGCCAAGAAGAAACCACCCAAAGCATTACCAATTGCAGCTGGAATTAAATTCCATGCTAAACCATCATACCATTCAACTGAATTCATAACATAATTAATTTCAGGTGTAATTGTTAAATTAGTAGTATTACCATACATGGAATCCCAAATGAAAATATGTGAGAAATATCCAACATTAGCAGGTGCATGTTGTACACCCAATGCCTAAATAAATAGTATTGAAATATTACCATAAAAAGATTATATAAATAATTAATATTAATAATAAATAAAACATACAGCAAAAGCAATAATAGGGAAGAATAAAGCTAAAATCTTTCCAATAATAGTAGTACCAGCAGTACATAATAAAGAAGCAACACCAATCATGAAATTAGCAACCATTCCACTTAATAAACAACTAAACCATCCACTTGCACCTCTTTCAATGAAAATATCTAATTTGTGTTTAGTTAATGCACTCAAATATTGTACCATAGATTGACTGTCATACCATGAGAAACATGCTCCTAATACTGCTGACATCATCACTGTACCTAATATATTCCCAACTATGGAAATACTCCATAATTTAATAGAATTTAAAAGTGTAATTAATTTAATACTCTTATGTGGTCTTCTAATTTTAATATGTAAATGATTTTTAAAACAACTGAATATTCCCTTAATAACCCAATAGACACTTCTTCTAATAATACCAATTAAATCATTTTTAAATAAATGAACACTAACAGATATATTAACTTCTGTAAATAGAATACTCTTACTAAATATAATCATTGTAAAACCACCAACAAATGCAATACCAGTCATGAATTTTTGCATAGCCTTACTTGATATATCAGATGAAATTAAACCTGTCAATAAGGTTGCAATAGAAACATAAATACCACCCATCAATGATAATATAAACATTCTAAAACTACTATAAGTATGTAGTACACTATCACAATGTTCATCAATGGCAGTAATTAATTCTAATTGAGATCTATATTCAGAATCTCTATGTTTAGCTGAACGTGAAACTAAATGATGTTCAAAACTTAAATATTTTCTTTGGAAATATTGTTTAATAGCTGCTTTTCTAGTGAGTGGTGTTGCTGGTTGTTGTTTAGCAATGGATGATGAACGTCCCTTTGTAGTAAGAGTAGTAGAGTTACCATTGGTAGTATTGGTATTATTAACATTCTTAATAACATTAGAAGTACTATTAGTAGTACTACCATAATTATTTGTTGATGACTTTATAGTAGTAGAAGCACAACCACCACCAGTGGCAGTATTAGTAGTATTAGTAGTATTAATAGATGTACCATTTAATAATCTTGTAGGTTGATCATCACCATCCACTAAGGTAGTCGGAGTAGGTGAATGATCAGCAGAGGATGAATCATCATTGGGTGGATATAAATGTTGATCAAATATTTCACTCTCTGCAACTCTTAATTGTGGTCGATGACCCAATTCTAAATCATCATGATTTGAGGTACTTGTGGATTGGAATGATGATTGTGATGTCATCATGGCACGATGATGTTGATGATTAGGAAGTGATGTAGTTGAACTGTTTGGATGAGATAATGTGAATTCAACCATTTCATGTGACGCACTAGTATCATCATCTTGATGATGTTGATGATGATTGGATGATAATAATACTGGATCACTCATTATATATTTGGAAGTAGTAGTATTATTATTGGTATTATTGTGGATGATATGTGTTATTGGATGTGATCTTCTGTCTATTGAGAGTGAATGTGATTAATAATATTAATAAATTGTACAATAATGACTGCAGCTATTTAGCTTAATTGTGTTAAATTGTTTTTTTCGCTTTTGTAATTTTCAAATGGAGAGTGTGGCCAGACATGAAATAGGCTTCAGAAATACCTTGGACGGACCTTTTTGAGTTAACCGCCCTTTCGCTTTGTTGCTGTTGTTGAAGTTTCTTTAATGTTGCTTCCATTAAGGTCCATAGTAAAAACGCGAAAAACGAACATTGAAAAACAGTTGGAACGAATCTCGCGTTTCCATGGTTTGTTCTTTTTAGGCCATTTGCACTTGTTTGGAGGCTATTACAATTTTCTAGTGGTGTAGGAGTTTATTGATTCTTTTCAAAAACAATGAAATTTTAATCAAAATGAATGGAATATTTAAGAATTTAAGGAGTGAACGTTTTCTCATTTGGAAGAATAACAGATATCAGTTAGATTACCTTATTAAATTTGTGAGGATTATTATTACAGCAGTAACACTATAACACAGAGTGCCTAGCCTTGTTGTTGTTGGAAAACACAACAAAATTTCACACAATGCTCAACATTCCAGCTGATCAAACTCAAATGCGGACTAGTGAAATTGATCAAAAAACTATGTCAACAATTCACACAGATATTATATCACAAACAACACAACAATCAACAGTAGCCAACCAACCAACAACACGAATTGAGTACATACCTCAAATGATATTATATTGAAAGCTCCATTAAGAAGATGTTGTTGTATAAAATCAAATAGAAACTGTAGAAACAGATTGTTACAATATTGAATATTTATTTATATAATATTTTGACTGTTTTGTTTCTCTTAAGAATTGAATCCAAAGTTAATGAGCTCGTTATGAATTCATTAATGATTGAGAGTTGACATTATAATTCTAACTAATAATTGCACTTTATTTCATACTGTGAACAACAAATGTATTGAAAGCTGTGGTTATTAATGAAATTGGCTCCTACTTACTACAGTATTAATAATCAAAGCGAATTCTGGAGGTGAAGATGATGAAAAAACTTCAAAAAAAAATTCCAACTTTCAAGCCTCTCCAAAGCTTTTACTTCTTCCGTTGCGATAAAAATAAAAATAATAAAATTTGTATTTAAAAAAAAATGTCATCATCGGGACCTGTTGTTCTTGAAGATAAATTCTTTGAAGTCAAAAACATTGATCCAGAAGGAAAGAAGTTTGATAAAGTATCACGTCTTTATTGTGAAAGTGAAGATGAAATGGAATTAATTATTGATATTAACACTGATATATTCCCAGTAGAAATTAATGATAAATTAACAATTTCATTGGCAACAAGCCTGGAAATTAAACCATCAAAACAAGTAGATTCAAAGAAAACTAAAGATACATATGATCCAACCCTAGGAACTGATGACAAACCATCTTTAATGGACAATTATGATTATGTCATGTACGGAAGAGTTTATAAATATCAACCTGAAAAGAATTATTCTGTCGTTTCTATTTATGTGTCATTTGGTGGTTTATTAATGAAATTAAAAGGTGAAGCTAGAGATATTCAACACATTGAACCTGATACACATTTGTATTTATTAATGAGAAAGAATTAAATCATGTTTTAAATTTTTGTTATTTATTATATATTTATTATATATTTATTTATTATTTGATGAAGATGAAGAAGATATCATCAATTATTGAATTTAATAATTATGATGGGTGATTTTGACTTGTAAGGCTCATCGGAAGTAAACAAAAACAAATTGTTTATTAATCATAATGATGATGTAAGTATTACAAGAATAATTAATCTTCATCAATAATAATTATTGTTTTTGTAAATCATCACTGATAGATCTGGTACGTTTCAAAATGTTATCAGCATCAATACCAGCAATCTTTAAGTGTTGAGCAATTTGATCTCTTGAACGTACAATATTAGATTCAAACAAGCCTTGAACTAACATGATTAAATTCTTAGTATTGTTCAATTCTTCTTCATTTGCACCACCATTATTATTATTAATAACAATATCCAATTGATTTGGAGTGAAAATAACAGCACCTAAACCATATTTAAATGACATTAAACGACGTAATAAAACTCTTAAACGTTGTAAATGAATTGCAACAGTTTCTAATAATTGTGAATATAAAGCATGTTCTCTAACTTGTTTCAATTTTGGATTTTGAATGGAAGTATTCTTTGCAGTTTGTAAAGCTGATTCTAATCTGAAAATCTTTTTTTCAATATCTGAAACTTGTTGTGAAGTTTGTTGAATTTTCTTTTCATCTCTTTCTTGACTTGCATTATTTTTTAATTGTAAAATTTCGGTCAATTCTAATTTCATTTCAGAAATTAATTCATCTAATCTATCTTGGAATAAATCAACACCACTATAATCATTTGGTGCTTCACTATTTAATTCTTCAACAATAACACGTTTCATTTCCCATTTAGTTTTAGTTTTTGCATTATTACACATTTCAATCTTTTCTAAAATTTCCATTCTACGTTGTTCTAAATATGTTAATTGATCTAATTGTTGTAATAATTTTTTAGAATGATTTAATTCACATTTAAATGTATATTGTTGAACAAATAATTGTTGAATCATATCCCAATATTTATCTTCCCAACAAACAACTCCCTGAACAAAAACATTATCTGTACATAGAATTGGTTGAACTATTTCACTTAAATGTGAATTTCTAGAAAGTGGTGATACATCTTCTATATTTGTATTATTATTACCATTTATATCATCCATAGATGGACTAGTATTATTATTATCATTATTATTATTATTATTAGAATGATTATCATGATGATGATTTGATAATTTTAATTGACCATTTGAATCTTCAACAAGTAATTGAATTTCTTCATCAATTTTAAATAAAATTTCATTAATTTCTTCATTAAATAATTCTTTTGGTGGTTTTAAATGTTGTTCTTGATTTGGATTTGATGGTAAATATTGATTATAATCAGTTGGAAATAATTCCTTTTCATTTAATAATTTACCAATTTGATATTCTTGTAAATATATTACATAATTATCAATTGAATGTAAATTATTAATATATAAATTATTAATAGTATTACCATTATTAGTAGTTGTACTGCTATTATTAGAATTAGAATTATTAGAACTATTACTACTACCATTAAAAGATTGACCTTTAACTAATTGTTTTCTCTTTTTTTGTAATTTCTTATCTAAATTATCAAATTTAATATATGCTAAACCATAACCATGTCTTTTATCCATAATCCAATAACCTTCATATCTATTACCATTGGCAAATGTTTCAACACCATGACCATATCTATAATCATTATAAAATAGACCATCATATTTATGTCCATTCTGAAATAACATTGTACCTGAACCATGTCTTTTCATATTTAAAAATTCACCCATATATCTATCATCTGTTACTTTCCATGTATAGAGTCCTTTACCATTAGCTACTCCATCCTTCCATTCACCACTATACATATCACCATTACAAAATACAAATGTACCTTGACCATTCATTACTCCTTCATTCCATTGTCCATCATAACTCCAATTATTAATTATGATTATTTGATGGATGGAGTATTATTAGTAGTATTAGAATTATCACCAGTATTATTAGTAGTAGTAGAAGTATAAGAATTGATTGGAATAACATATTTATCACCAATATCACGTAATTCATTATTAATAATAAAACTCATTTCATTGGTAATTAAACCACTTGCAATACCTTTACCATGAGCTTTACCATTAATAAATTCACCTTCATATTTATGTTTAGTGTAGGGATAAATTATTGTACCTTTACCATGAGGTTCATTTTGTTCATTAATTGTACCTGTATATTCACCTCCTTGGAATGATATGGTTACAATAGGTCCATTAGTGGTGGATGTTGATGGTGGCATTTTTTAATTATTATTTTTTATATTGACAAGTGACGTTGATTGGTTTTGATTTGGTTGATTATTATCCATTGGCTGATTTTACATGGACTTTGACTTTACAATTTCACATTTTATTTCAAAAGAAATAAAGAGAATAGTGGGCATGACTCATGTAGATGTAATCTTTTATGATTTGATGTTAAAAAAAGAGACATTTCATGAATTAATTACCTCTACACATCTTAACACATTGCTATTTAATATAGCCTCAGTATTCCACTCAATGCAGACATACATTAATGAGTTTATAGATTTCACTAATAAATGAAATATCTCCATAACCTAATCAATGTTCAAAATGAACATGAAATTATTTTTAATAAATTTATAAAACAAGTTATGGTTCAAGTTACGTATAGCATTTTAATCTTCCTTAATAAACAATAATAAGAAAAATAAATAATAATATAAAAAGAATACCAATGTCCTCTCATCCTTGAACGTAACATTGCCAACCTTTCAGTAAGCCTGACCTCATAAGTCTTCAATAATTTTATTTATGTTAAACAAATATATTAAAGACACCATTGAGCGCCATAGAGAGATGATTTTCACATCTCATAAAGAATATTGATATTCCCATCTATTTACATTAGAATATTAAATTTAATAAATATAAAAAAATAAATTAAAATAATTAATTATGGTTTAATCTTTTAAATATTTATTTAATAAAGGTCTAGTGGTTTTATCTAAAATTAAATCAATTGGATGATCTAATAATAGTGGTAGGAATGGAATGATTGCTAATCCACTCAATGTTGGAATTGATTTGAAATAAATTGATCTTTTAAAGCCTTCACTTAAATTCATTCTATTCATTGAATATTTAACTATTGAACATGTTCTATTTACAAAAAAGGCTGGAATTGTTACTGATGCAAAAAATTGCCATATTAATGTATCACTTGTATGATGAATAATTGGTTTATAATTAATTGTTGTTGATGATTTTGTTAAATTATTAGTATCAATATTATTAATATTATTAATATTGTCAATATTATTATTATCAATATTTGATGTAATATTATTATTAGATTGTAATTTATATTGTTTATAACCTTTATCAACAGCATCAGCTAGAGCATATCCCGATGCAACAATATATGTAAAATTAACAATTGATTTTGGTAGAAAACTTCTAAAGGCTTCACCAACTTCATTAGTATATCCTAAATATCTAACAATTGAATGTTTATATAAATCATATTCTTCATTATTTGTTGTTGTTGATGTTGAATGATCATTACTTGTGTTATTATTATTACTTGTAGTCGAAGATGTCATGTTTTTAATTTTTTAATTTTGTTCAAATAAAAATTCAATCAAAATAGTGTTTGTTTATTTGGTAGTTAGAACCGGCACGGTTCTGACTATGAAGTTATCGTTCTTGGTGCGAACTTTTGTTTCGAATTTGTTGATTGGGGTTTGACAGATAACTTTGCCAAAAAATTCAATCAAAATGTGTTTAATTCATGAAATCTTCCAAATTACAAATATCAATCATATTAACATATTATATAATTACACCTATTAAACTATTTTATTCAACATGTTCAGATTCTCCTCCTCCCAATTCTTCATCATCAACATTAATATGATTATCTTGTTCATATTCTTGTAATTCATATTCAGCTATTAAATCATTAAGATTTGAAATTGCTTCTGAAAATTCCAATTCATCCATTCCTTCAATTTCAAATGATTTCATAAAAGCCTTTCTCTTAAATAACATTGAGAATGAAGATGATAATTGTCTAAATATAGTTAAAATAGAAGTAGAATTAGCAATTAAAGTTCCTGTTCTCTTAATACCAGGTGGTGCAACTTTACATATAGAAGTTTGTAAATTATTTGGAATTGATTTGTAAAAGTAAGAAGAATCTCTTTGAAGAATACCATTAACTTGTTCTTCTGCTGATGATGAACTAACATCTCCTCTAAATATAACACTTGCTGTTAAATATTTACCATTCTTTGGATTGGCATCAACTAGGAAATGATTTGGATTAAATAATTGACTTGTAATTTGTTCAACTTTAAGATCTGAATTATCAAATGAACTTCCTAATGGTGATAATGAATTCATGAAAAAGTGAGCTCTTGGAAATGGAACTAAATTGGTTGCCATTTTACGTAAATCTGAATTTATAATACCTGAAAATCTAAATGAACTTGTAATACCTTAATAGTATATTAATAATGATTTAAATGTCATCATAATCATTCTATAAAACAACATACCTGTAACAGATTGTGCAACAATTTCATTCAAATCAACCATTTCAGGTGATTCAATTCTAAATAATTTTTGACTAATTTGATTAAGAGCATGATTATCAAAACAATTAACCATTTGAACATTTTCAATCAAGTGATGTAAAGTTAAAACAGAGTTATAAGGTGCAAGAACACTATCAACAGTTTTTGTAGATGGAAATACAGAATTTGTCATAATCATTGCACCACCATATTCATCTTGAAGTCTATTTGTTATGAAACATCCCATTCCTGAACCACATCCACCTCCAATTGAATGAAATATTTGAAATCCTTGAATACAATCACAACTTTCTGCTGATTTTCTAACAACATCCATAACTAATTCTGCCAATTCAGGTCCTTCTGTATAATAACCTTTAGCCCAATTATTACCACTACTACCTGTACTACCTAATGAATAATCTGGTCTAAACCATTTACCAATTTCTTGATTAGACATTATTGAATCAAGTGATGAATGATCTAAATCTGCCATTATTGTTCTAGGTACATATTGTCCATTTGCACCTTCATCATAGAATATATTCAATCCACGATAAAGTTCATCAAGAATCTTATTTGTTGATTGGCTTGAAAGTTTTGCTTCAATGGTGGATGCTGCAGTTGGTGGTGTTTGAGTAGCCTCAATAGGCTTTGGCATGGCTGGTTCTGATTGAAGTGTATTATCATCACTAGTTGTTATTGATTCAGCTATACCTTCGGATGATGAAATTTGTTCATTAGAATTAGTTGTGGAGGCTTGTTCTTCTTGTGTTGGTTGAGGTTGTTGAGGTGGTGGATTTATAGAAGCAGCTACAACATCCAAAATAGCCTGAACAATGGTTGTTGGAATCTGACTATCAGCAT